CACTCAAAATGCAGAGGGTGCTTCTTTCCTAGGCAGCTTTCCGGAGGGACCTGGCTCACCTCCTGGAGCTGATTGGCACGGGCAAGGAGTCCCTCAGCTTCATGAAGAAGAGGATCCGGCACTTGGCCCAGCAGTGGCTGCGGGCGGCTCGGCGCCTGGAGCAGAAGCTGAAGGACAGGCAAAGGGACCAGAAACACGTAGGAGCACATTGCACGGGGGGGCTGGGGAGGTGGAAAAGCTGAGCCCTTGGGAACGTGGGTGTTGGGGACAGCTGGGATGTGAGCCAGCTGGGAGGAAGATTCCTTTGTGGAAGCACGTGGGGTCTGCAGGGTTGGTCTGTGGTCTATGGGCACAACTCTGTGCGTCTGGGGTGTCGCAGGATTGGCGTTGCTGAACAGTGGGGTGAATTTTGGAGATGGGTGCTGGTGGGTGGGAGGTGGAGTCCAGCTGGCAGGCAGCCCCCGGGGTGGGCAGGCAGCTGTGGTTGAGGAGCAGCACTGTGCAGAGGTCCTGCTGATGGTTTTGTGGTGCACTGCTCTCCAGTCCCTGGGTGCAGGGAGATCCAGCTCCAGTCCCTGGGACAGGCTGGGATGTCCTTTGGGAACGGGAACCTGGTCCCAGGATACAGACCAGCACCTGATTGGTGCTGGTAAACTGGGACTATTGAGCCTTTGCTAATTGGACATAATTGTCTTTACACCCAACTGATTTCCTGGAATTATCACAGCATGCAAGAGGAGCTGGAGGGAATTTGGGACCATAAGTCACTCGGGGCTGGGAAACCCAAGTTGTCCCTTTCCCCCCGTGCCACCCATCCCAGCAGCGATTCCTCTCCTTGTCTCTCCAGATCTTGATCCATATTGGCTTCCTGACAGAGGAGTCGGGGGATGTTTTCAGTCCACGGGTGCTGAAGGGGGGCCCGTTGGGTGAGATGGTGCAGTGGGCTGACATCCTGGCTGCCCTCTTCCTCCTGGGACACAGCCTGAGGGTCACGGTCTCCCTGAAGGAGCTGCAGAGGTGGGTGCTGTGGTGCTGTGGGTGTGTGGTGCCCCGCAGGAGGGTCTGCCCCACATGTGTCTGTATGGGTTGCATCAAAGTCCTGGTGTGTGTCCAAAGAAGGGCGACAGAGCTGGGGAAGGGTCTAGACCCTAAGTGTGGTTGAGGAGCAGCTGAAGGACCTGGGGGTGCTGAGCCTGGAGCAAAGGAGGCTCAGGGGAGACCTTCTGGCTCTCCACAGCTCCCTGACAGGAGGCTGGAGCCAGGTGGGGGTCGGGCTCTTCGCCCAAAGAACAAGAGACAGGAAAAGAGGAAATGGCCTCAAGTTGCACCAGAGGAGCTTTAGTTTGGACCTGAGGAACAATTTTTTCCCTGAAAGGGTTGCCCAAGGCTGTGCCAGGCTGCCCAGGGCAGTGGTGGAGTCCCCATCCCTGGAGGGATTTAAAAGCTGTGTGGATGTGGTGCTGAGGGACATGGATTAGTGGTGACCTTGCAGTGCTGGGTTAACAGTTGGATTTGATGATCTTAAAGGTCTTTTCCAACCAAAATGATTGTATGAGCTCTTTCATGAAAGCAAAGGCTCAGGGGTGGCTGTTCCCCCACCTGTGTCTCAGGCAGCACTGGTGTTGTACTGGTGCAAGCATTAGGTGGGTGCAGACCAGCAGCATCATGGCTGGGATTGTTCCCCTCCCTTCTTCACCCCAGAAAAGTGAGAAGGACTGGTGCAAAGTAAGGTTTCGTGTGGGGCAGATGTGGAGACGACTGGGGCAGGGCTCTGTCCTTCTGTCCCACTGATTCCTGCCTAGAGCTGGGTATGGCAAAGGCTTCCTTTTACCCCTCATTCCCAAGGGATGCTCTCTGCAGGGCTGGTGGCCATGTGGCCACAGGATGCAGGTGTCCTGCAGGTTGCTGGCTGTTCTCACTGTGTACGGCTGCACTGGCCTCACTGGTGGTGTTTGAGCCGTGACTGCTATCTTCCTTCCTCCCTTCCTTCCCTTCCTCCCTTCCTTCTCCTCTGAGGCAGACTGCCAAAAAAAAAAAACCTTGCAGAGGGGTGGTAGCCACCAAGGAGCCCTTCTCAGAAGGTGCTGGTGGTGGCCTGGGGACCTGTGGTAGAATTTGCCACTGCTGGGGCATGTCCCACAGAGCTTTTTCTGCCCTGGGATATGGGGTGATGCAGGGTAACAGTGTGCACACAGCTATGCTGGGCCACCCGACAAGTGTGTCTAGACAGCACCCTTTCTTCAAGAGGGACCAACATGGATGGAAAAAATAGGGAGAAGAGAAGTGTGCTGTGTTCCTGTGTGCTGATGGAGTTCTGTTATTAGCAGGCTGACACTGCTGCCTCCTGTAACCCTACAAGATTTCCTCTCCTCCTGTGAGGCACCTCGAGTGGAGGGCAAGTGCAAATTACGATGGGTTATAAATCAAGAAAAGCCTGAAGCTGCCTCTGGGACTGGGCAGGTTTTGGGCAATGCTAAGCCAGCATCGGCCGCATAATGAGCCGTGCTGAGAAGGGAATGAAAAAACCCAACCATCCTGGAAAAAAAACACTACAACAAAAACCCAACCCAGCCCCTGCGGCATTCAGAATTAATGAACGGAATTAGCTGCCGACTAATTAACTCCAAAAAATAATCCTGGTGCTAATGCAGGAGGCAGCAGGTTCTGGGAGAGGCGGGCACACGTCAACGGCGATCGCCGTGTGCCGCCCGCTGACAGGCTGAGTAAGAACCTGTCCTCAAGGGTGAAGGAGGTTAACGGCTGGGAGGGCTGTGGTCTTGCTGGTGTGTGGTTCGTGTTGGTGTTTTTTTACCGAAGAGCCTCACGGTGGTTGTTTAATGAGGGGAAGGAGCTGGGTGAGTCTCCCTGCGGGTTTCGCAGCGGCCGTTCCCTCTGGGAGTGACTCTGGAGAGAGCTCCTTTGCTGCCTGGAGTGGTTGTGCCTTCCTTGGGAGCACGGGAGCTCTGACATCGGGTGGCAGTGATGAGACCTCCTCTTCTAACATGGATTTGGACGTGGCCCCTTGGAACGGTGGCACTGTTGCTGCCCCTTTGCAGCTGTGGTGGGGAGCTGGGGGCACACATCTTGCTCTTCTCTCTGTCCTAGCGGCAGGGCCATCCCCACCCCCCCCAGCGGGGGTTCTCTTAAAAAAAACACTGGATGCCCACGTTGTGTCTCCACCTCTACACTGATGGAGCTGGGGCTTTCACTGTGCCCCTTCTGTCCCTCTGCCTGAGCTCAGTGTTTGCTGGGACCCTCCTGCAGCCCATCATGAGATGAGTAAATGTGGGGCTCAGAAGAGGAGGGGACATCACCCAGCAATCCTGCTCGGTGCTTGCAGGTGTCTCAGCAGCATCCATTCCTTCAGGCTGGTAGGGCATTAGCAGGGCTCTGAGGAGTGCTGAGAAAAGCCTCTCCCTGAGCTTGGGCAATGAGGGGCTTAGCAGAACATGAGTAATTAATCCTCAGTCGTCCTAATAGTTAATCCTGGGCTCTTTGTTAAAGCCTGAGGGGACTTTACCTGTAGCTGCAGCTTTGGTCACAGGTTGGTACACACACAGCTGGGGGCTGTGTGAGGGGCTGCAGGGATGAATCTGGGGATGAATCCATGTCACCATGGAAGGATCAGCCCAAGCACTCTGATTTCTGATCCCTCCTGCCCCCCGTGCAGCCTCCTGGAACAGCAAAGCTTTGCTCTGCTCTGGGCAAGGGCTGAATTTGTCCTCTCCTGTCTCAGGTGTCTCTTGCTGAGCTGGCACCAGGACAGGCACCAGTATTGGGGTGGCTTCAAGGATGTTTTGCTCCAGCAATGTGAAATGCTGAGTCCACTTCTTGTTTATTTTTCTTTGCCACCCCCTGCTCCTTTCAGGGCTTAGAGCTGTAGCTGCTCCCACCCTCCATGGAGCAAAGGCTGGCACCCATAAATTATTCAGCACGGAATAACCTCTCTCCTGGTTTGTTTTGTGTCTCTTCAAATTCCTGAGCTGATTTTTCTACACGTATTGATCATTGGCGAGGGATCATTGGAAGGTTTGCCTGCACACACTTCAGCCAGTAGTTAGCCGAGCTCTGTTCATGACTAACATCCCTATTGATGGCAATGCAGCAGGGCCCAGAGGCAGTGCTCAGGATGGGCTCTGGAGTGCTGGGGATCAGGCAGATGAGGAAGAGAAGTAAATCCCGGCTTCCAAAAACTGGTGATGGAAAGCTGGGGTGAAAATGGGTCAGGTGGGTGGCAATGTGTGTGGGGCACCTCTCCATGCTCCGGGGGGATGCCACGTGGTGAATAGCAGGAGTGTGAAAGGGTTCCTCCCCCAGTTTGGGGGAGCAATGCTAATCTGGAGCCAGGCCAAGGAGCTCTGGGCATCTGCAGGTTTGCTCCATGACTTGGCTATGTGCTGTTTAAGTGCCCCTGTGAGATCTGAGATCAAAGCTGCTGAGCTCAGCCATGGTTTTCCAGGGCTAGCTTATCTTCTGCCCACTACAGACCTCAAACCTGTGTGGATTCTGTTGCCGTGCCCTACCAGAAGCCGATTTTTCTCCTGTAGTTGAACTAAGTGCAGGCGTTTGTCCTCTTTTGCATTTCCCACTGAATTTGTGAGCTGCTTCTGATGCGTCTTGACAGGCAAAGGGTGAAACACGGGATAATGTGGTGGCTGGTGCAAAGCATGGCTGGGCACGTGCAGCTCCCCCAGAGGAAGGGAAAGCACTGAGCTGGAGCAGGGGGTCAGGAGCTGTTTCCACCTGAGGTTTGTACAGGGTGGGCAGGGGCAGCGGAGGGAGCCTGCAGCATTTTGATCCCTGTCTTGAAGCAGGGTGGGAAGAAACATCTCAAACATCCCCAAATCCCCCAGCTGGGAGGGGATCTTACCAATGTTCATCAATATCTAAAGAGCAGAGCTCAAGAGGACAGGGCCAGACTCTTCTTAGTGGTGCCCAGTGATAGGACAAGGGACAACAAGCCAAAATGGAACCCAGAAGATTCTACTTAAACAGAAACTTCTTTCCTGTGAAGTTGCCTAACCTTGGAGCAGGCTGCCCAGGGAGGCTGTGGAGACTCCTTCTCTGGAGGGATTCCAAACACACCTGGACACCATCCTGGGCACCCTGGTGTGGGTGACCTGCTGGAGCAGGGGGGTTGGACAAGATGATCCCATGTGCTGCTTTGGTAGCCAACATGTGCTTTCAGGGAAGTGAGAATCAAGGTGGGTGTGTGTTGCTTGGTAGGGGAGGAGTGGGAAGTGTTTGAAAGACCTGAGCTGAGTTGTTAATGAGGCAGGTTCTGAGTAGATGTTGGAAAACCCCAAGCAGCATTTCCAAGGGATGGCTCTGCTGGTGCAAAAGCCACAATGAGCTGAGGCTCTTCCTCCAGAGCCCCTGTGCCCCAGGGGCAGGCAGGAAGAGATCTACTCAGACTTACCCCTTGGAGAAAGGGCACAATGGGTGCTGTGGGGACCTCCAGCTCCTACCCCCATCCTTGAGTCATGGGAATGGTCATGTTGGCATCTCCAGCTGCTTTTGCAGGGCTATGGGAGAGGCCTGGGGACATGGGGGTGTGGAGCTGCTGGGAGTATTGATCAAAGACGGTTTTTGCAACGGTCCCCTTGAAATTAACTGCTCACAAAGCAGGACAGAAAGTCGAAGAAAACAGGATTTGATGCCTCGTGGGGTCAGAATACAACAAAGTGTTCTTGCAGCTTAATTGCTCTGGTGTCAAGCTCTGGACTCCTGGCACTGGCCCTGGCAAGGCACTGCATTTTAAGCATGTGCTCATATCCTGTGCTGGCAGCCCTTTCCCTGCCAAGCTGTGGCCAGCGTGTGGTTTGGGTGATGAGCCATCAGGGTGGCACGGATGGGCTACGGCAAGGCTGGTACCATGGCAGAGCCAGTGCCACAGCAGGCTGAGGCTCAGCTCCCGCTGCCAGCACTCTCCTCTCGTTGCCTGGCACATAACTAGAGCTACTATCTTCCTGCACTTCCCACAGTCATCAAGGTGTATTCAGGCTGCAAAAAGGGCT